TGGTCTGTATGCTGGTTAATTGCCTCAGCTTATCAACAAACAGAGCAGGATGGGAGGCAGGATAAGGAATAGATATGGGGGTGGGGTGAAAAAATATGGGGTGGGAACTCTGGGGTGGGGGGGTCATTGGCAAACTGAGGATGCAGTGTATAGTGTGTGAGCAAAATGCAGATCAATCCTCCCGGTGCAATATTATTCACATACACGAAAAATGATCCTCAATGTATGAAGTGGTGGATACGCAGGTGGAATCCCTGCGTAATTACTGCCTACCAGGGACAAGGTAACAAAGGGCCTTATTCAGTCTGCGCCGTGTGGAGAAGTGGTAAAATGTGAACCTTTGTTTGAACCGTCGCTCTCATCCTACATCAAAGCAAAGGATCTGTCATAAGGTACAGAGACTCTCTGGGTGCCTTTCTAATAAACAATAAGTGCTATCTGCCCTGATTATAGAGGCTGCAAACGTCTAAATTATTTTTTAGACATTGCTGTATATCCATATTTAAGGCTTTAAGACGTCAGTTTTATTTCAAACAACATATACTTTTCTCTCTGCGTCAGCGAGTTTCAGAAGCAGATAGGTTGTCGCTGCAGCTTGAAGTGAAATCGAGACGCCAGCGCCACTCGTTTCCTCTGGATTCGCTACACTGCCAGTCGGAGTCAGAAGCAGCTGTTCTGTACAAGCGGACACGGCAAACAATGTGGAACAAAACTGCAATGGGAAGCAAAGGACCGTCACACGTGCTTGACAACCGACGAGGAAATGCTTGGTCTAAGCAGTTGACAGGGGTTCAGGTTCCATCTCGGGCAATCTGTCTCCTCCTTACTTTGATTAAAAACAAACTAATGTCACCAGCTGATGTGCTCTTCTGACTCAAGGACCTCAGAGACGAGCTGATGGAGATGCCTCTGTGTTAGGGCTCCAACATATGGCTCGGCCACATAAAAAAAGATAAGAACTTCTTGAACTTGAAATGCATCTAAATTGCGTCTTGTCCTTTTGAATAAATATCTTAGAGAAGTAGTTGGTCTCCAAAGCCCATCTGGCCCCCAAACCTGAGCCATCTGAAACGGCTAAAAAGTTTCTGCTTATACATGCTGGACTGGCCTTTAATAACCTGTCATTTCAGATCTGTCTCACCCACTCTGCTTTAACCCCCAATTAACACCACCTGTTTCCAAAATCCTCCACTCACACCTGTGAGCTATTTCCGTGCAGGGCTGATAAACACAATCCGCCTTCGCCTGTTATGATGATTTAACTGTGATTAACCACATTCTTGTGGTTTCAGTTTTTAGCGAACAACACTAAGGCCTCATTGATGTCTGAACTAAACCTTAAATGGATTCTGTCTGACACATAAGTTAGAAAATAACATATCCTGTCCCTACCTAAAGAAAGTCAGCAACATAGGAGAAACCGTTATAAACAGAGAAAATGTGGAGCAGTGGTGAACTTTTTCCGCAATCGCTCCAAAAAGTCATCCAGGAGGTCATCCAGGAGGTCAGAGAATGACCAAAAATAACACCTAAAGCCCCTAAAACTTGTTTTTTGATAGATTTTTTCCTTCAAAACAGGTTTATTCTAATATTTACTTAGATTATCTTTGATTTTCCTAGAACTTTTCCTTTATCCATCTCTCCATTTAAAACAGAACATTCTGAATCCGTCCTTCTTTTAAATGAGTCGATGAATTGACAAAAGTTCTCTGAACGCCAGATTTTCTTGACTTCCACTAAGAAACCTTTAACAGAGAAATACAATACTCACAAAGGAAACTGAAACACTTTACCGAATACCTCAGAGGCAAATGCAAACACATCTTAGCATAATCCAAAAATGAAAATGATCACAGAGCAAGAAAAAGATAAACATTCCCTTTGCACCTACAAGGTATACACCAGCAATAGTTTCCTGCCTTGTATATATGTCAGCTCATCTTGTAGTAACAGTTCAGCTATCCTCCCCCATATCTGTGCAATTCCTTACTAAACACACCATCCTGCTTGTCATAACAATCAGGAAGAGAGACCCTCCAATGGCTTCCCTGCCCCTGCCTCAGGGTGTGGCCTTGCCATGGCCCCAGAAGCCCCCCGGGGTTTTTTCCTGCAATTCTAATCAAAGTTAAAAAGGCTGCAACCTTGGAGCCAAGGCCTGGGCCACAGTCAGCGAGGAAGATATCAATCATGCTGTTAAAAACAAGCATGAAGGAAAGAGGGTGGGAGAGAGCTGAGAGCCCTTTCTGGGAAAAAGTTGCGGCTTCGGCTCGTCCCTCTGCTTTTCACCTCAACGAGAGCGGGACACATTCTCTATTCTCGGAAACCACGGGGGTAACTCGGAGTTGCATTAACACATAATGGCTGTGTGAATGGATAAATCATTAATCTGCATGTGATGCTGCATGGCCTGTCACCACCATCAGCAGCATCAGCTCCTGACTCATACTCTGCCTGTTTTTTTCCAGGTGGGATTCAGTGAATCCACTCTGGAGTCATACATGGGCCAGAGTGAGCCAGATCTGCAAATTCTGCCTCTTCTGCCTTACGCCTAGTTCTGCAGCTGTCTAATCCTCCTGCTTGTATAGGGACTCACAGACAGATAGAGACATATGCCCATGCATGCATGAGCACACAACAACTCTCATATCTAGCCAAGCAAGCAGGGCGAGCGGGTGGGAAGACAGGGGTTTGGCTGTGTCTGAATATTAGCTTTTCCACAGCTGGGGGCTGCTGGACCTGCTCCATTCATCAGACATCCATCAAGGTGTCAGTTTGGGTTATGAGACCAGGTTCCCAGGGTGATTGCACCTCTACCCTCCCTGCCAGCAGGTGTGTCTGATGTCCTTCTGTTTGAGCCAGGGTGGACAAAAGGCAAACAAGTCAAAAAAAAGTAGAGCCAACGTGAAGAGAGTACAAACTGAAGCGAGTACAACACCCACTACTGGCTTGAAACTTTTCTTTAGAGTTAGAAACATTAGCATGAGCCGTGAAAAAGTATAAGTAATCCTGTAATGTTCTGTAACTCACTGTAATGTTGAGCTGGGCAAGGAGAGCGTTTATGGAGGAAGCATTGAGGAGGCCCATGGCAAGTTTAGAGGAGCTGCAGAGAATTACGGCTCAGGTGGATCTCTAAACACCCTGATGGTGGCAGCATCAGGCTGAAGGGATGCAAATCTTCAGTGGTGAGAACTAGCTCAAGTAGATCCCAAACACATGCCATTATATTAAACCTTTTTTCTGATGAAAAACTGCGATAAATATAAACCTTTACCTTACACTTTTCCCAAATTTCCCTTTTCCCTCCTAAAGGTTGATCTTTCATAAACTGTCTCCAGAAATCAAACAATAACTAATATGTTCCAACAAAGTGTGAAAAATATTGTAATGTATAAATAATTTAGTAAGTGTTTTTAAACATCTTTAAACAATCAGAGTAAGCAGTTAATCATATAGATGTAAATTAGCCAAGGGTGAGTAAGTTCCATTCAATGTAAACTCACCCCCTCTCCTAAACCTATTTTCCACCGGAGACTTTGGTCATTTCCATGACTGCTCTACATAACAGCCCTCTCTAATGCCGAGGAGGACAGGCAAGGTAATTAATTCCCCCTGCTGCCTCTTTCTCTTCCTTTCTCCTCCTCTCCATGGTGAAGGGAGAAATCAGGGAATGTAATTTACACTAATTACCTTTTTGCATAGGAGTCTCATTTCAACTTTCCTTTTCATGTTGAAGCAGCAGCCGGGCTGTGCCTCTAAGCTTCAACACCCCTGATGAAAAATCACTACAAAATTTCCACAGGGAGAGAACTCTAAAGATAGAGCATAAGCTTAAGGATCCTTTGTTTCATACAGATTCGTTTCATATAGCATAAAGAACCCACTTTTAGTCATGATTTTTGTATAATCTGTTGGGACATTTGAATTTGTATTGGAGAACTAGTGCTGAGTTCCTCTCTTTCACTGATAGTGTTCATGAAAAGGGGAAGCAGGGCTTCCCTTTGACACCAGCAGAGGGACTATAGAGTAAACACAAATTAAACAGGAGGCTGCTCCAAAATAAATATGGGAAACATCAAGCCTCATCATTTTCATGCGCTCTTCAATCTTCATCAGCATGCATACCTCAATTGCATGAAAGGATGCCTATTATTTAAGATCCAAAGTCAAATTCTGGGTAGGGAGCATTAACAAAAACTACTACAAGACTACTTAACAGAAAACTATATAAAACATCATAAACATTTAATTATGTGAACATTTTATTTGTTGTAATGCAGTTTATTATTTCTACAATTCAAACCCAGATTTATCTCCACTGCATTGTTTTAATTATCACCCACTTTGCAGATGCATTATTCATAACAGATGTATATGTGAGAATCTGTCCATAAGCATAGAGAATGACAGCTTGACAGCATCTGATTAAACGAAGCGTGCATTCACTAAAACGCATTAGTTTTCAGCCACAATGCTGCAGCCATATCGACACCTTCCATTTAAAATCGACTCCAAACAAACAGAGACATAAACCCATGCAACCCTGCAGCGGAGAGCCGGGAAAGTCCTGCGGATTGTGCATTTGTTGCGATCTAATTTGATGTAGGAGGAACGATGAGACTGATCCGGGACCGATCGGTCTCCGACCCCTCTTTCATCCCCCCTCCAGGAAGCTAAATGATCGTTTCCACATGTCGGATCCGATAGTTTAATGTATTTTCTGCTTGTTCTGGGCGATCTGGTGCCTTATCAGCGCATATTTTAACGGACAGCAGTCAGTCTCCTTTTAACTGCAGCTCCAATGCACTAAACTGTTGGGCTTTCTTTAACCTATTTAGATCAGGTTAAAACATATGATAATTCTATAAATAACATGCCGCTTTATTAAAATAAATCTGTTTTTGTTCCTCCATGTGAGATGCAGTTTAATTGTGTGAGAACTGTAGGCGCCCGGAATGAAAACAGCGCATTTCCAGCGGAGAGTAGAGGAGAGGAGCCCTTACCTTGGTATACAGGGGCCATCGGTGCAAGGATTCCTGTTATTCATGGCAAAGAATAAAGCCAGCTTTCTGTTCAAAACTCAATAAATATCTGCCATCTTGAAAAAATGATGAGAGGGTAGCCTCGGTCTCCTGCATTACTGGCTTGGTTCATTAGTGGAGAAAATGCATGTAATTTTTATCCAGGCTATTTAATAATAATAATAAAAAAAAGGTGGAAAAAGCTGGGGTCCGATGCAAGGCTGAGCGTCTGCAGATCCTCACCTGCTGGTTATTTATTCATTTGTTTTTTTCTTGCGTTGGCCCAAAAGATGAGCCGCGATGACAGGTTTACTTCAGCTAATGCGCGACATGTCTGTGGAGTGAGGAGTCTCTGCAAAAGTTGCAGCAGTGATCGGAGCGCAGCGAGTTTGGTTTGCAGGGAGAGAGTCGAATGACGAGCGAGTCGATGCAGGCGGAGGAGAGGGAGGGAGTAGGTTAAATAAATTCATTGATAAAGACTCTGATTGGGAAAGTTCAAGTTACAGAAACATTTCTTTACTATTATTATTATTATTATTATTATTATTATTATTATTATTATTATTATTATTATTATTATTATTATTATTATTATATATCAATACATTTATTATAATTCATGCAGGTAGTATTACAAGTTATATGGACACTGCGATTTAAATAGAACAGGAAAGGAGAAACAGAAAAAAAACAGAAAAGATGAAAGAAAAAGGAGATAAAAGGGAGATAATGGCAAATGTATTTATATAGCACAATTCAGTACAAAGACAATGCAAAGTGCTTTACATGATTAAAATATAGGAAAATAAAACAGAATCAAAGCAAGTAGGGGAAAAAAATTAAATAAAAAAATGCAGAAACAAAAAAGAATATTAAAAACAGTTGGACTAAAGAAAATAAAAAAGTTGAACTAATGATGTTTCAGTTGAACTGTTTAACTAGAACAGTTGAAGGCAATCCTAAACAAATTTAGACTTGATTTAAAGGAACTCAGGCTTTCCGCACTTTTACGGTTTTCTGGAAGTTTGTCCCAGATAAGTGGAGCGTAGGAACTAAATGCTGCTTCTCCATGTTTAGTTCTGGTTCTAGGTATGCAGAGCAGATTGGAGCCTGAAGACCTGAGTGGTCTGGAGGGTTGATACACTGATAGCAATTCTGTGATATATTTAGGTGCTAAGCCATTCAGAGATTTATAGACTAACAGAAGTATTTTAAAGTCTATTCTCTGAGATACAGGGAGCCAGTGTAAGGACTTTAGAACTGGGGATCATGTGCTGTACGTTTTTTAGTCTTAGTGAGGACAAGGGCAGCAGCGTTCTGGATCAGCTGCAGCTGTCTGATCCACTTTTTAGGCAGACCTGTGAAAACACCGTTGCAGTAATCAATTCGACTAAAAATAAACGCATGGATTAGTTTTTCCAGATCATGCTGAGACATTAGTCCTTTAATCGTGGAAATGTTCTTCAGGTGATAGAAAGCCGACCTTGTAATTGTCTTTAAATGCTTTTGGAGGTTTAAGTCTGAATCCAGCACTACACCTAGATTTAAGGTAACTTATAGGTTAAATGTATTTACAGACCACTTCTTTACAACGAATTTTCTAATAAAAAAAAAAAAAAAAAACCCTACAATATAAAATTCAATTAAGACAATTAATCAAACCAATACTACAGGAAAAGAAAAATCTAATTCTATTAAATACAATTTTTTTCTCTCCAATATATTTTATTGAATTGTCTCTTTTTTTGATACACCAAAACGTACAGACAACAAACTTTTAACATCTACTTATACACACTTACATTCAGTCATGCATTCACCATTTAAACCTTAATTTCTCCAGTTCCAAAAAGATACAAAGCCCTTTAGCCACGATAATTGTGATAAGTGCAGGAATATGCAGTGACCCTTTTCTGAAAAAGTGTAAACAGTAAATAGGATTTTCATATGAATATAATAGTGTCCCTGTTGCTACTGTAAAGTAGGTATGCACAGACAGAATATTGTTGACTATATTAAGTAATTGACTTTGCAGCAATCCCTTCTCCTAAACAAGCAAGAAAGGACAGCCGACAGATGGTTTAACATGGTTCTTGGCTTTGCAGCAATCCCTCCTCCAGAGCAAGCATGAGAGAATAGTTAATTGCTGATGGCACCAAACATGAAATGTCTCCTGAGTTAAAGGTATAGGGGAGGATGTACTTTTTCTGGGTGGATCATCAAAATAAGTGGTCCTCCTAATTGTGAATCATTCCTGTGAAAAGTTTACGTGAGGCGTAAACTCTAACAGGGGAGAAAGTTCAGCAAAAAAAAAAAAAAACAACTTTAAAAATTGCACAGAAAACGAAGTATTCATTATTATCTACGTTATTTAAAAGTAAAATTTGATCACTGAGGTACATTATTATATCAGATGATAGAAAAAAAATGACTCAGGGTTTAAAAGTGCCATGCCCAGCTGAAAGGATCATATATATTAATATAATATCATTAATATCATATATATATTCTTTATATTTATATTTAAGTACATTTTTACACAACACGATGTATAAATGGACGAGCTATTGCTTCAATTTATTTTTATAGTGTTACATGTTTTACATTTCTATAATACAGTGTCAGTGGCGTTCAACGTGCTTCTGTGTTTGATGACTCTGTGTTTGTTTGGTCGCGCCTGTGCAGAGGCTGGAGCGCTCCTACTTTATGACGACACGAGATTTGCACAGAATGGACTGGAATCGGATTACATCGGCTCACACAAATGTGAGTAATCTGTCATTTACCAGCCATCCTGCAGATCGCAGCATTATGTGCACCAAGCTCTAAATTAAACATGTCAGTTCAGCCTGCGCGTTAACAACACAGTGGTGCACAGCGAGTTCAGCCAACACAGATAATAAACTAGGCGACACATTTAAATGCATACTATACAGTTTGTTTCATCCAAGGGGAACCAAAGCATATAGTAAAAAAATATTGTGCTGCACGCAAAAATAAAGATGAAAAAAAAAGAAGTAAAATCCTTATTTCATTTCATTCAGATCCTTGCAGCATAAAACCGTAAGAGACAACTTCTGAACACATTTAAAGACCAGATAAGAATCTTTATGCATATAATCTCGTTTCGTTTATATAGACGTCAAAAAAATGAATAACAAAGCTTCAAGTCATAATTAATGAAAGGGAGCAGAACATATGAAAAGCAAAATGTTACTTTTCCACTGAATTCATGATCACAGCCTTCAATTTGTTTTCAACACTTTTTCTTCTTTTAAAACTAGTTTCATAGGTTATTTTTAACTCGAATGTTAATAAAACGTTCAAGAAACTCCTATGCTATAAAATATGTAACATTTGCTCCATATACATTTTGCATAATAACTATTTTTGGCTCAACAATAAAATATTATTTGAGGGAATAAACACATGAAACAGTTCAGTATCTCAATGAACATTTTCTCCCGGAGCCAATTACAAAATATACATGTAGGTGATTACTGTAAACAACTGTAGGTTAACTAATGAAACCTTTTCAGTAGAGTGAGGATAAGGTGGATCCATATTTCAGGTTCTGTGTTCGCTTGTTTAAGATCTGATTGTGACACCCAGGCTACAAAGGATTCAATGGTTCTGAAAACGCTTTGATTTAATATATCTCAATTATTTTATGAAGCAGATCCCATTTAACTAGTGATGCAACTGTGTGACAGGCATAAACATCCACTTGGTGTCCAGCCTATATTTGCTGGGCACCAAAACAATGCTGTGGGCTGGTGTCCAATCAGAAACACTTTGTTTATTCATGATACTTCATGTCAAAAAATCTTCTACAGAGCCAACTGCAACATATTCTCATTATCAGTTCATATGAAATCGTACGAAAAGTTATGCACAGTATTTCCTGGGTTTTTGACGTTTTTCCTCAAAAAAACATATCAGTGCGCATGCGCAGCCAGCCAGACGAAAAAAGCAGATCAGCGGACGGACGTAAAACTGGGACGGACGAGCTTTCGACAGTGCAATAATTACTTCATGATGTCTCTCACTAGGTTGCCTGCTGCTTTGTATGTTAGGGTTAGGGTTAATTGTATGTTAAATTGTCACACCAATTGTTGGTAACAGCTCACCTATTAAAAGTCAAAGCACATTAGTGCAAAAATGAAGTCAATTAAAAAAATAAAAAAATATGCAAAATAGTGTAGCAGCAGCAGCAGAGTTTAGGCTGGGCTTCCTGAATGATTGTTTATTTATTTATTTATTTTTACATTTATATCAGACACCATAAAAAATATGCATTAGCTGTGTCTATACTCTATGCAACTGGTGCCAAAGAAATTATTTTAAATACTGGGGAGGGTTCTTCTATTTTATCTTAATATTTTTCTGCTTGCATAATTAACTCACACACCATGGTTAATGAAACAACCAAAGTAGTCCAATTCTGTTGGATAAAAAAATATATTTCCGTCATTGTGAATTCATTGTTTAACGATTTTGCTGGGTTTTCTGCTTAAAAAAAAACACAGCAAACATAAAGTTTTCTGTCTTTTCAGCAACATCTTCATGCCCCACCATAGCTTTCTTAAAGGAGCTCATACTGTACAAGCGTTTTCTTTTGCAAAGTCACTGGATGTTTGTTGCCTATTGGCAATTAGATAAAGCTAAAATCAAAAATATGACTAGCAATAGTTTTGAATATTGTTTAGCACCCTCCATTTTCCAGTACATGAAGGTTGTCAAGTAATTTGACAAGCATAAGACTTTTTCTATTTCCTGTTTTGACAATAACTCCTTATTTCTGGCATTTGTTTTAATGGTTGTAGTAAACAAACATAGTGATGTGAAATTCAGGTCAATGTCCTCGATGATACCTTTGTTTCCTGCATTGTTTGGGTACCTGTCCTCTTTATGTCTAGCTGAGTGCTGGTATGTATTTTTACATTTCTTTGTTAAGAAACAGCAATTCTTCTTTTGGGGCTATAAACCAGAGGAAGTACAGCCCTGCTCATGCTAGACGCACTGACTCATGACTATAAGTGATTGTGGTCATATAGTCCACTTAAGCTGCGGATGAAAAAGGTTTACATGAAAAAGGTCAATGACGTTCAGGAGGAAGCAGAATATCACAAACAGTTTATTATGTCTTCTCAAAACCACTTCTTTACAGATATGAAATCAAGTGTGATGATGCTTTCGTAGACAGTAACTGTATTGTGAAACTCTGAAAATGCACATAATGTCTAAGTTGAAGCCGGCTATAATCCTGCACATTACACTTCCTGGCAGGCTAATGGTGCATTCTCATCTTTCAGTTCCTGATGTGTGCTTTATGTGAAACTGGTAA